TGTTGGGTTAGGTTTGGGTTTTCTAAGTCTTAGGTTGCAGGGTTCGTTGTTGGGTGAATTCGGCTCGGGAGGTCGCCTTTGCTGCCTCGGGGCCTTGGGTTGGGGATGGGTCGGGGCTTGGGGACGGGGCGTCGCCTAATGGGCGTTTTCGCGACCTCCCGAGAAAGATCCTCTACTTCCAACTGCGGGGGGTCGCCTTTTGTCCCTGCCAGGCTGTAAGAGCAGATCTTACTTGTTTAAATGTTCCTGGGGGCCAATATGCTGAGGGCTCAGGGTTTATAAAATATGATCTTCCGCAGCCCTTTCTTTAGCAAGTGAGTAGACGTCAGTGTGTTTGCAAATTTTCGGACCCCGGCAGGGTTCATCAACATCGCAAGATCACTGCAAACGTACTATAACGTAGGAATCTCTCCATTCCCAAATTTATATGGTATACAAGCACATCGACCCTTCGGGCTAGAGGGAACACAACGTTTGATTTCGAGCAGGGCTTCAGCGAACACCTGAGTGACATCTGGGGATTACCCCCGAGGCCTCCCCTTGGCGGAATCACACAGGATATAATTTTCATTTTTCGCCTAAACCCCTAAACTCTAAACCCTAAACCCTAAATCCTTTTCGTGGCAACGTTCTGATGGCGTCGCTTCCTGCTGGCCAGTCTGGCTACGATGCTGAGGCAAGAGAACGTGAAGCAGCCTCCTTGCCGAACAACCAGGAGAATGCTCCCGTGGCTCACTTCAAAGCGGTTCAAGCGTTGCTCGTGCACCGTTGGCTGCCAGTGGACATCTTGAGTCTTTCAACGAGATGTCTGTGGGATGGCACCTACTACCAGTGTCTCAACATTGCAGTACACGCTATCCCAACTGTGACCTCTGGCCCGCACATAACGGTTGCATCCTTCAGCAGCCTCAATCTTGAGGGCCTAGTGTGGGCGAAGCACGAGCAGGTCAGGATCATGAACGAATGGTTGCCGTTCTTGACCCACGTCTACTTCACACCCTACGGGAAGGGATGTCACCTGGAAATACCAGGATTTTGCTGGATGAATACGTTCGTCCTTGCACTCCGGAAGCCTCTAGAGGAGCTGTCTGACGTTGACATTACCTACTCTCCGGCGCCCCATGTTACATGGCGCACCTGAGTGCTTCTTGGAGCGGGCAGCTGAGCCGACTGAAGCAGTCACGCAAGCCTTTTTTTGCAGGCGGAACGCGGGCGCCCTTTGCAGCGCTTCAGCTTGTACCGACGGCTTCCAACGACTCGCGGGGCCGGCCATGGTCAACTTCAGTGACATTCACGTTACAATTTCCAGAAGCATTTCTGGACGAGCTATCATTGCCGACCTACCTTTGCATGATTTCCATGTCCCTGCCAGTGGAGAGTACCGAGAAAGCCGAGACCTACAAACGTTTCAAAGTGCACGGGCACTGAAGCCATCGTCCGGCTCATTTTGTCAGCTGGCGCAGGGGTGAGAGTCACTTGCAGTTGCGAGATTGAAAAGAGACCGAGTTACGAAGAGACATGCAGGGTTTTTGTGCCGCAACG